GGGTGACCAAGTGAGACTCCAACTCAAAAAAAAAAAAAGGGAAGAGCATCCTGGATAATCTGGGTGGGCCCAACATAATCACAGGGGTCCTATCAAAGGTTGGTAGGACAGTCAGAGAGAAGAGCGGTGCGACGACAGAAGCTGGAGTGATGTGTTCTGAAGATGGAAAACGGGACCATGCCAAAAAGTGCAAGGAGCTTCCCAAGGTGGACAGACTCTTCCTTAGAGGCCCCAGAAGGAATAAAGTCCTGCTCACACCTTGATTCTTTGGACTTCTGACTTCCAGAATAACAAAAAACTCAAATTTGTGCTTTCCTTTTGAGTTGGAGTCTTACTCTGTCACCCAGGCTGGAGTGCAGTGACACCATCATGGCTCGCTGCAGCCCCAACCTCCAGAGTTTGCTGGGACTACAGGCACATGCCACCACATCCACCTAATTTTTTGTAGAGTCGAGGTCTTGCTATGTTGCCCTGGCTGGTCTTGAACTACTAGGGTCAAAAAATTCTCCTGCCTTGGCCTCCCAAAATGTTGGGATTACTGGCATGAGCCACCGTGCCCAGCAAATTGGTGTTGTTTTAAGCCACTAAATGTGTGGTAATTTGTGACAACAGCAGTAGAAAACTAATTCAGAGGAGATGGGAATTTCTTGAGCATTCTGCAAAATTTGCCACCCTTGACAGAAGTCTTTAGGTTGGAGGCCTACAGAACCGAGTGGTATCATTCTTGCCGTGCCACCCAGCCAGGTGTTCATCACTCTTCAGGCCTTTGCCTCCACCTCTGCCCACCCAGCCTGATTTCTGCTGTCCCCAAGAATCTCCTTCCTTTCAACCACCTTTGGGCCCTAGATTTGACTGGTTCTAAGGTACTGGGTGATAATCCCACATGCTTGGAAAGAGGGCTACTAGAAAAGTAGAAATTCAAGAAGCAAATTCAATGGAAACATGAAATAACAATGAGAAATATTTTAGAAATTGGGACATTTTCTTTCCCAGCATCAGGCCAAAGAGAAAGCAAGCTTTAGCTGGGCATGGTGACTCATGCCTGTAATTCCAGCACTTTGGGAGGCAGAGGCGAGAGGACTGCCCGTGCCCAGGGGTTTGAGACCAGCCTAAGCAACTTGGCTAGACCTCGACTCTACAATAAATGAAAAAATTAGCCAGGTATGCTGGCATGCGCCTGTGGTTCCAGCTAGTTGAAAGGTTGAGATAGAAAGATCACCTGAGCCCAGCAGATCGAGGCTGCAGTGGCTGGGAGCATGTCACTGACCTCCAGCCTGGGCAACAGAGGGAGATTCCGACTCAAAAAAAACAAAAAAACAAAACAAATCTTGGGAGAGACTGAGAACCACAGACACTGACAATCTGGAATCTAGTTAGGAACAGTGACCTGCACCATACATTTCTGAACATTTGCTCGGTAGGTTTTAAAGCCTGGGGCATGGGCAGAAATTCTCAACCTTTTAGTCCAGGCCTAGAAGACTAAAGAGACAGTAGAGATCATGGTAAAAGTACAGTCTCGAGTTTAAAAAAAATCCGGATTTGCACAGGTCCCGCAGCGGCTGTGACATCATCACTCCTGTCGATCAGCAATTTGGCCTTAACAGCATTTTCCTGTTTTTAGAAAGTAGAATTAGCCAGCTCGGTGGCTCAGCCTGTAATCCCCCGCCTTTGGGAGGCTGAGGTGAGTGGATTGCCTGAGCCCGCGGGTTCGAGACCCACCTGGGCAGGAGACCTCATCTCTACCATAAATCCAAAAATCAGCCGGGCGTGGTAGCGCATGCCTGTAATTCCGGCTACTCAGAAGGCTGAGGCGGAAGGATCGCCAGAGCCCAGCAGGCGAGGCTGCGGGGGCCGGAAGCGGCCACTGCACTACAGTTCGGGCGACCGAGTGAGACTCCCCAACTCAAAAAAAAAAAAAAAAAAGAAAGTAGAATTTATTGAGAGGACAGAAAAGTGCTCTCAGTGGAAGGGAGCCCAAAGGGGTTGCCCGATGGCATTTTCTATCAGCGTGGCGTACCTTCAACCGAAGCACTTTCTGAGTGCAGAAATATGAACTCAACTTGCTTGTAACTACTGATCTTGAGTTTCTGAAATGCCTAAAAATGTGGTGGGCAGTGAAAAAGGAAGCCCAGGTGACTCTGCTGCAGCCTGTGTCACCCTGTGACCTGCTAGTCCTGGAGTTCTGGAGGGAGGACCCCAGAAGTCAGGAAATGGTCAGTGCCTTTCAGGATGTTGCTGTGAATTTCACCTCCCAAGAGTGGGCTTTGCTGGATCCTTCCCAGAAGAGTCATTACAGAAATGTGATGCAAGAAACTGTCAGGAATCTAGCTTCTATAGGCAGCAAATGGGAAGATCATCACAAATATTCTTGGAGAAATCAAAGTTAATTTGCACTCAGGAGAGGAAGCAATATTGCTTGAAGCAATGTTAGCATGTCATTTTAAAAAACAAAAGTCATATGATAGAGGGACTGAGTGAGATTAAAGAGGGCAGTCAGTGTGGAGAAACCTACAATCTCCAAATCTTAATTTGAATGCAAATATTTATACTGGAGTAAAACTATGTGAATTAAAAAAAAAATCCAGATTTCAATCCTGGGTCTGAGGACCACCGTTTTCTTGTCTCTTGCTGCCTCCAAAGAAGCCTCAAGTGGAGCCTGCTGGGGGTGAGCTCATGCAAGCCGCTGAGGGTGCCTGATCCCAACTCCTACCCCAAGATCCGACTCCTGGGGCTGCGCCACCAAGAGACGGAATGTATGAAATGCACGTCTCTGGCACTAAGCAAGAAAGGCGCATCACCAAGAAAGCACATTTTTAAAAACTCGCCTCTCCCAGAATCAAAGGTCTTTCCTCTTTATTTTATACCCCAGATGACTTTATTTTTTTTCTTTCCGTTGTTACTAGCTGGGAGCTAACATTGGCCGGGCCCCAGGGGGCTGCTGGAAAGGCGCCCTTCCAGGAGCGGAAGGCTCGCTTGGGAGACACTGGGGGCGGGGAGCAAACCCGTGACTCTATGTCTCCCCCGCACGGTAGGGATTCTCTAGGGCCTTCCTGGCCAGGCCAGACCCCTAGTCCAGACCCCTGACAGCGGGGGCGGCAAGGAGACTTTGGGAACATTCGCAGGACTGCAGGTTCACTCAGCCCCCCGCTGGGCTGGGGAGCAGAGGTTGGGCCAGGCCTCTGCGGGGCGGGGACCACCCACAGAGTCGAAAGGCCCCATCCCCCCAATCCCCCAGCCAAACTTGCCAGCTCCCCTTCGCGCCCGCTCCAAGCCTTTTCTGGGTCCTCCCTCCAGCAGGCTGGGCTGCGGTACCCAGTTCCTTCAAATATAGATGGAGAAGGGGTTTGAATTCAAAACCACTGACAATTAAAAAAAAAAAAAAGTTGAAGGGGGGACTGGAGATCCCAGGCTGGAGTGAGGATGAAGAGCTGGGCTTCCTCCTCATCCCCCCATCCCAGTGAAGGATGTGCGTATCTTTCCTTCCCTACCGCCATCCTGAGTTTTGGGTTCTTTTTTTTTTGAGTTGGAATCTCACTCTGTTGCCCAGACTGGAGTGCAGTGGCCGC